GTGCAAGTTGTCTGTAATAAATCTATTCCAACGTGTCCTTTTTATTCCTTCCTCTACGACACACCAATGAAATCCTGGCATCTCAACATCATTAAATGTACTCATCACTGGGGTCCCAGTTTCACTCAAGCAGCTAAGTAAACTGTAGAGACACCCCCACTGCCCGCACCAACCCACTGAATCCAGAACCTCTGGTAAGCGCAACTGTATCAATACATTTATCTCAATATAAACTTATATTCTATTTTCCTAGGACCCAAACCCTTAGGATCCATTCATGCACATATCCCCCAGGTTTCCATGATGTAATGCAGAAAAATCTTGCCATGCTTTTGGTGTAGAAGCTGTACCTCCCCAGGGAAGGTTTGTACTTGCTCTGGTCAAGCGTGTGGAGCTCTGATGCCAGTGGAGAATCTAATAGGCCACAAGAGGTAGGTCTTGAGGACAGAAGATATCCTTTGCCAGACACCTGCTCTGGGTGCCCTTATTATAGGCTCTGTAAGCAAGAAAGTGAAACTTCTCAGACATGATGGGCAAGCTGCTTCCACTGGCAGGGGACACGCAAAATGACTCAAAAGTTCAAGACTGTCAGCTTCATCTGAGTGTGCCCAGAGTTCCCCATTCCAAGTCTCAGGTTCTCACTCCTTCCTAATCAATACCTTGACTTTCACACAAGAGATTAGCAAGAGATTGTGAATTCAACTTGCATTATAATTATGCAACCCACAAATTAAATTTTATGTGTCATTTTCAGCAATATTGACCCTGCAGCTACAAGAAATACATTTTTATTTATTATTTTAATAAATTATTTTATTAATTATTGTAATGAATAATTTATGTAATTTTAGGTAAGCTCTCTGATTCTCTGATTGTGACCCATCTTTGAGGGTTGTTTTCTGGGACCACTCCTGGTACTAGCTGATATATTGGGGTCTAGTCAGGTGACAAATGGAATTTAATATAAAGAATTATAAACTAGGTAACTAGGAGGTAACAACTGCTGGAAGCAGCTACCACCATTAGGGATAGGAGAATAAAGGGAAAGGCTGGAATTACTAAAACTTAGAAGAATATAGGACAGTCCCTTGGAGCTCAAACTCAGACCTCTGCAGGGTGTGCTACTTGGCTGATGCCAGTGTCACTGAACTTGGAGAAGGAGCTCCAGGGGGATGGGGCCATCCATTCTGGGTGGGCCTGACCCCCAACATCCTATCAGCGCTGTTCGAGCCCCCAGTCTCTACTCAGCTCTCCACCTCCCAGCATCCACTCTCTCCCAGGCCCGCAAGTCTTACCCTGCATTTGTGCAATACGGGATCAGCCAAAAGTCTAAGCCTGCTGGGGTTCCTTCTCTATGGTTCCTCCTTTTTATGTCGTGCACCCCAAAATTCCACTGCCTTAGCCCTAAACTCTGATCTCTGCCTATTCTGTCCATCGAGACCTCACGACCTGCTTGTGCACCACTTCCCTGCACTGTGGCCTGGAAAGCGTCCCCAGGGAGAAAGCCTGGGTGGATGTGGGGCTCCGTTGTGTGACTGTCCCCACTACAAGGATCACAGCTCTGGGTTGGAACACTGTCCAGGACCTGCCCACAGGACTTTTCTTTCTTTTGCCCAGGGTTTGTAGTTGTTTAAGCAGGAGAGCAAATATCTTCTATCATTCTTTTTTGGCTGCTCAGCCTCTGAACTCACATCTTTGCAGAGCTCTACTTCTTATTACATCCCCTCGTACACGGTACTGAAGTGAAATATATCCCCCAACATCCCTCACCCATCATTCATGGGGCTTCCCTCTAAAGGCCACCTCTCCCGCTGCTCCGGAATGGCCCGCTAGAGGTCTGGAGACAGGGATTTCATGATCCCCGGCCTGGACGAGGCCTTCTATGATTGGCCTGACTTAAACTTGATGTCCGAATCCATGGCCTAGTTATGTGGAGGCCTCTGCTCACTTGTGCTCCTGTCTGTCCGCTTCCTCTACACCGGAAGCTCCCCAAGGACAGGGAACATCTGCCAGTTATCTCTACGTTTAAGGGAGGAATGAGTTGACTGGGACATTCATACCTACTTCAGCTGTAGGTATGGCATGCACCTGCTCTGAGTGGAGCATGAGCTAGCCCATGTCGCGTTTGTGTCGTGCTGAAGATGTAGAAAAATCATACCCATCCTGGCTGCCTGATTACTTACCCAGGTGCATGGGATCGCTCACCCCCTTCCAGACAATGAAGGTGCCTCAACCCCCTTCCCTGCTGGGAGAATTTGTCCCCACTTTTTCCTGTCATCCCATAGGGCCCCCAGGCGTGGCCCACAGTGTTAACTGGAACCTGGGAACCTGAGAGAGGGAAAAGAACTAGGATCTGTTGGGCTACGGGCTTGTGGGCAATTTTAAAAGGAAACAGACACCACTGATCCACTTGAAAGCTTTGCAATGTTTACTACACCCAGATATTTGGACTTTGATGCCACAGGCTCAGTGTTGGAAAATGAGTCTCCCGCTTTAATTCCCAAAGAGCCCTTATGCATACATAATGCTCTCCCTTCCTTTTAATAGGAATGTAGATCGTATGTAAATGAGCCTTTGTGCAACTGTGTATCCCAACCTTCGTTAACCACACCTGAATTTCATAATAATGACATTGTTCAGTTACTCTCCCTTGATGTTTGCATACAAAGCAAGCAAATCATTTCTGTATATGTACATTTGCCAATCATGACCATGTTTTGTCCAGTGCAGGACTCAGGGTCAAGCACTCTACTACGGGAATGATGGCTCAGTTTGAGGAACTTAAAGATCACGTCACCCAACCCCCTAATGCTTTGACTCCCTCGACACTCCTTGCCAAGACTTGTCCTTAAACTCCTCCTCTGACAGGGAGCTCACTACCTCTTTGGACAGCTATGAAACATTAGAAAGTTTGAACTTGCTAGGAAGGATGTCCCTGAAAAGTAGCAGAGAGTTTATCTCTTTTGTTTTCAAATCCTGCTTTGTTCATTTAACATTTTAAGTATTTCTTTCATATCACCAAACAATCTTACATTTTTGCATGAATACGCATTCTCACATTTACAAATGTCATCACACTTTTGTGTTTTATAATTGCTATTTTACTAAACAATGTGTTACATATAAACATCTTTTCATTTCAGTTAGCCCACATCTCCTTCCTCATTTTCAATGCCTACATAATCCTCTGTTGTTGGATGTACCATAATTTATTTAATCATTGCCTTTCAGTGGGCATTTTGGTTGATTCCAATTTGTGCTGTAGTGACCAGCTCCAGGATAAAGTCTTCACAGATATTCCTTAGGAGAGAGTCATAGAAGGGCACAGAGGGTCAAGGGGTGTGAGCACTCTGAAAGGCCATTCTGGTTGAAAGGAATCATTGATAAGCACGGAGAGCTGTGCTGAGTGCACTACCAACATGGTTATATTTATTCCCGGTGACCAGCCACCTCTCCTCTATGGGACCTGACCACCCCTCCTCTATGTGGCTGATTGTAAGGTAAGGCTGGAGCGGGCCAGGCAGGTGGCCCTGCTCTGACCACCAAACAGAGTGGCCTCTGAAGGGACTCCTTTCTGGAGATAAGAACATCCCCTGGAAGACCACAAACTGGGAAGGAACTGGACCTGAAAAGCAAAAAGAACGCCACCCAAGAGTGCTGTGGCTGGTTTTCCCAGGCACCAATAGGCTTTCTCCATCTCTAGGAGTTCAGCAAAGAAAAAAAGAAAAACAGAGTCCCTTCCTCCAACCAGTGTCTTCACCTGTCCACACTTGCCAGGACTTGGACAGGATGGGGTGCACAGAGCCTAGCCCAGAGCAGGCAGAGGGGTGACATGAATAATTGACTGCAAGAACCTGCATTTTTCCAATATGCCTTCCCCATTAAGTCACAAGTACGCTGACACTTGTGCACCACGACTTCGCCAGAGCATCATTTGTAGTAACAAAACGATGCAAAACAACTGATTAAATAATTGCAATTTCTGTGCAACTAAACACTGAGCAAAGTTAAAAAGCCCAAGGCTGCTCTACAGGAACTCCAAAATATATCACTGTATCTCATCACAAGGGAGTCACTGTTGACCAGCAGATACACCATGAGTTTACACAGCATTAAGAAACACACACAAAGCCATTAAACTATGCTCCCTTTGGTGCTACAAGAAACCAGATTTCAGAGATGATAAGAGGTGGGGAAACTATGTGAAATATTGTAGGTGGAAAAACCAAGTGCAGACTAATGAGTATGATATGCTACTCTGTGTGTGTGTG